GGGGGGGGGGGGGGGGGTCGTGACCTCTTCAAAGGAAACAACCGGTTGAATCGGGGTCCGTCAAACAGACAATTTCTCTCGAATGATATCCCCTGCCTGCGAAGGGAGGTGGGGTCAAGACACGCCCTGAGAGTCTAGCAGAGCTATCGTTGAAGTCGATCTGCCTCCGTTCGACTGTCCGCCGCAGGCCTAGGATGACGGGACGAGTCTACGATACGAAACGACACGACATCAACGCCTTCCCGCGCTCCCAGATACAGTGGTGCATCCGATACAAGAGGGTACCTCACGAGAGAGGGCACCGATCCAACATGATCGAACTTGCTTGTCACGGACTCCACCCGTTTCATATAGCTGCGAATTCTTCTCGTCTCCTATTCCGACAAGAGGAGGCTCCGATATAAGAGCGTCGAGGGCCTTTGTCACAGCACCCTCTTAGATCTTGTAGCGGAGCGCCACGACTTGATCGCATTCCGGGCACCTCAATGCTCAACCGGGAGTAGCACTCTCCGATCTTCAGCAGGCAACAGACATTCTGCACGACCCAAATAGAAACAGTACCACAGAATCAGGATCCCTTTCGGGGAACGCACACAATATCCCTCCCGCCCCTTGGGCCTCCCAACGACTCTCACCGATCGTGAGCTTGGTCTGCATCGCGTGTTCCAGAGACTGGTGCGGCAGAGCAGCGTTCGCCGCCGCGCCAGGGCTTGAAGACCTGGCCCTCGACACACCCTTAGGGTCCGGGCTGGCGGCGCTGCCTCCCACGCTGGACGTCGGGGCCGCCATGTACGCCGAGTCGTCGCGCCCGTGGTATCCCGAGTCCTGGAATGGTTCGTGTCAGCGGGAAGGGAGGGCGCCAAGGGTATCAGCAGCAGGCGGAGTAGGGGGACGGGGGACGGGGGGGGGGGGCCGTTGAGTGCCCGTGAAAGCATTGAGGAGACGACCGGACCAGAGTATCGTATTGCTGGCGGCCGTGTCTTGTCCCTCTCCGGAGTCTCACGGGCAGATACGAAGGAAGCAGTGCAGATGACACGCCCACATGCACCTACCTGGTACATATGCGCTACGGTCAGCAGGGCTAGAAATCGAACGGCCGCGGGGAGGAGAGATTTCCATCGCGTGGTCATGACAACGAACTTCAGTTAAGAAATCGCGAGGCCCTGCGTTCATCTCTCACAGCCGTGACCCAGTTGAACGCAAGGAGGTATGAGCTGAGACTCGTGTCCTGTGCACAATTCAAGTGCAACACTTTTTGCCGACATGGGGCATGGGGATGAACAACCGAGACCGAGGTAGACCTGGGGGTTGCGTGAACCCTGAAAATACTCATTCAAGCGTCGAACAACAAAGTTGCGCACTCGGACAAAACCGACAGCAGTGCTCATGTGTACTGGTGCGCACTACTGAAAAATCGTGCAACAGCAGCGACTCATGCCCAATCGATGAGGGTGGAAGAGGGATCCAATCATGCGGAGGCATACAAGATCGATGGTTGGTTGTGCGCAGCTCCCAACGAAAGGGATACTCGACGCAACAGCGGTCCCGGAAGTTCGAACCTCTTGACACTCGGCACATCACTTGCACAAGGAAATCAGCAGCCCAACACATGGCAACCAACTCGCGAAAGCCAGCCGAGCCACGCACCACCCGCCGAAGCGGGACATGCCACATACATGCCACCCACGCCAAGGCTCCGAAGAGGAGACAGGCCGCTGCCCCATCGAGAGGGAGCGTCACGTCGGCCTCTCATCCACCAAGATCCAACTTACGCGCGTGCTAATCTCCACCAAGCGTCAAATTGCCGTTGTCGTGTCTGCCTCATATCGGTACCAGCATGGTATCTATTCACCTGGTCTTGAGGCTTCTCGTCCCCGGCCGCCTTTCCGTCGACGCCGCCGCCGGCCGAGGGGTACCCGCCGGTCTCATCCGCCGCGGTGCCCCGCCCCCGGTAAATATACGCCAGGTGCGGGTGGTCGTTAGAGTGCGCGCCATACTTGTCCCCCCCACCCGTGCTAGCCCCCCGCGGGCCGGCGTCGATTCCCACGTCGGTGGCGGAGGCGTCGCCTTGGTGGTGGTCCTCCTCGCCGCCGCCGCCGCCACCGCCTCCGCCGCCGCCGCCGGAGACGGTGAAGCCCGGCGCGACGCCCGCGCCTCCCGTGTCCGCCGCCGGGGATGGGGGCGGCAGCTTGTCGTCTCCGCCCTGTGGAAGTGTGCACGTGTGTGTGTTTTGTCAGCATCCGCCAGGGGAAACGGAACGGGGCGCTATGCTCTACATATTTTTTGGAACTGTCGAATCGTGTCGTCGGGAATTAGACGGGGCAACCTGGCAATTATTTAGAATATATCTATTCGTCAGCGAATTATTTGTTCGGGTTCGGTGTTAGGGGATGGTGTCCCAGCTTGCTGAATAGCACTGGTGACTAGATAGCGACGCACCGAACGGCAGGTACACAGCAGGGCTTCGTGATACAAAAGCCCGGTGTACGGGGTAGCAGCACCAGCAGCAGCACAAAAAATATAGTAAAAGCTCATTGAAGCGAGCAAAGCAGCTTTCAATGAGAGTGACCCGGAGGATGAAACTAAGGAGAGACAAGAGCGTACGCCTCACAGGGCGACGTGCCTTCCGGAATAACAAATGCATTTAGAGGCTATTTCAACATCGTCTTGAGCGAATACAACACCACCATGAGATCAACCGCAGCATGCATAGGGTTCTGCATACTGGGGGATGCCATCGGTTTAACTGGTACAATACTAAGAGAAGGTCATGTTCTACGCTTCAAAGTAGCGTCTGAGACAAGACGTCGCAAGACGTGTCACGCGAGAAAGAAACCGAGATATTTTTCCAAGTTTTCGGATCGCTCGAAAGCGGGCACTCACCAGACTGCGTGCAACGATCAAGCAAACCACGGTTTACCTCAACTATTGGCGACACGCGAAGCAACGATCACATGGGGCATCCAGCGATCCATCGATCATCTCGCGACTTAACCGCACGTGCGTGGTGTGTGGCACCACACGACGACCTCGGTCGAGGGAGCTCTCTTTCTTTCATTCAGCAGAAGTCCGGCAGGACCCGGACCCAAGTGAACTAAAATCTTTTACATTAATTAGCAACACGCCTCTAATACGGTTGCGATAACTTCAGGTGCAAACAGGTCGAGCAACGCACAAGGTCTCATCATTGTGTTATCATCATTGGCCACCGTGACTTGTGTGTGCGATACAACCTTCGCGGCGACAGCAGTGCGCACGCGCACCACACGTGTCACGTGGAAAAAACTTGAGCAGCCATTTGTCGTCGACAACGACTACAAGAAAACAAGAAAAAGGTAAACAGCAAGACTCAGCTCAGCTCAACAACTACTGCTGTGCCGAGTAGTAAAAGCAGTACTCAGGGCAACCCCGCTCGAGACACTGCCAGCCTCCACCCTCCGGTCGCTCGCTCACCTGGTGGTGCCGAAGGCCCGCGTTGTGCGCGGGCAGGAGCGGCTGCCGGAAGTGGGCGGTCTGCTGCATCCTGCCAGCGGCGACGCCCGGCCCCATCATCCTAGGAGACGGGGCCGTCACGTACCTCTCCCTCTCCTTGTCCTTCTTGTGCTGAACCTTGAGGCGCTTGTGTTCAATCTGTTGTGTATGTGTGCATACATACAAGCAGTTTTGACATTACCATGGAGTACATGCGAGGAAATGAGTTATTGTTTCATGGGTTGATTTGCATAGATGAGAGTTGTTCTGTAATGGGTTGGTTTCGCCGGGGGAAGGGAAGGAGCGAGAGGTCAGAGAGTGATCATCTTGTCAATATCGTGATCTGTTTCGCATTTCGTACAGCGCCAGGGGCGGTGGGGAGGGGGTGCGAGAGGGGGGGGTGGGGGGGGGGTTAACCTAGCGCGGAGGAAATGGGCGGACGGGCGACAATTTAACGTCTGACATTTTCCCTTCTGGTGTCTTGTTGCGAACACGTTCACTAGACACAAGTCACCATCGATGTTCACTTGACAAAAGTCAATCTACAATTCGTATCTTCACTTGACACAAGTCACGCGACCAGTGGTTGCGTGCGGACCGTCCGTAGGTAAATATCACAAGAAATTAATCGTGGTGTTAGGTGTTTGCAGAATTGCGTTTCTTGCGAGCAGTTTGCTGCCAACCATCATCAGATGACGCGCGCGGCCGCAGCAGGGGTGCCGCCCGTGCGATGGTCAAGTCTGGTCGGTTGTTGGTACAACATCACAGCTCATGTGGCTGTCTCAACTTGGATGCACATCTCTCACGCAGTTTTCTGCGTGACGTCGTGTTTTTCGTTTTTCACGTTGCCTCACGTGGGTGTGAGGACCTCGGCACAGCAGCAGCGTACCAAACTGCTGTATCAACTTTTTCAAGGACGCACGAACCTCCCTGCGCTACAAAAAAACAGTACGTCTTCTCCCTCCCTCCTCGACTTGCCCACCCAGACCATTCACAATTGACCTCTACTCTACGGCTGCGTGATCTGGTCCGGGCATCCGAAGTCACGCGCCCGCGATAAACGAACCCCAGCCACACACCTGGTACCCGTTCATTTGAGAGATAGCCTTTTCCGCCGAGTCTCTGTTATCGTAGCTCACAAACCCTGGCGGTCCGGTCGCCAACCACAGGTTTGATATGTAGCACATACACATGGAGAACCAACCAGACCCCACGCCAGCCGCGGGGGGGCGGGGGCGGGGGGGCAGCAGCGCCGTACGGGGATGGACGGAAGCACCACGGCGAACGGGAATTTGCAAACAAAAAACGATTCAACAATTGTATGTTTTTCTTTGGTTGGGAACAAGTCGCCTGCCGCACACACAAAAACAGGCGCGCGCGCATGCATGCACGACAAAGAGCACGCGCATGGTACGCAGGCAGCAAGTGTTTTCTTCGGGCATCAGGGCGGAAGTGCCACAAAACGGATGATGTGATGACAATCCTCTAGGTAGTAGATACCACGGCAAGGGTGAGGCGACAGGGGTCATCCTGGCTGTCTCTTATAGGGCGTAGGTGGGGGGGAGGCTCGATAGCCACGCGTCAGTGTGGTAAGCGATCGAGATCCCTTGAGTACCACAAACCAGCTCAACTGAACACCAAATGCGAAACAAAAGGCGCATGGTGCCCGGCCGGCCGCGAAGAAAAAGCCTCTGTCGGCTCCGCCGTGTGTTTTCTCACCGAAGCCCCTGCTGCGGCCCGTGGCCTTTTCGACCATGATGCGAGCGCTGATGACGTTCCCAAACTTGGAGAAGAGACGGAACAGGGCCTCGTTGGTCATGGTGTTGGGGATGTGGAAGACAAACAGGTTGCACCCGTCCGGCCCTGCCAATCCGTCCCCCGTTGCAGTGGTATTCATCGGAACGCCGCCGTGGCATGACAAACAAAAGGTACCTCAACGTCAGCACGGACTGATATCGAGTCAGATATACTGATGTCTCTAAAAGGCATACGCATAGGAGAATCGTCTCGATCGATTGATCGATTGATTGATCCCTCACGCTTCCAACAATGAGGCAAAAGCGTGGCTCATCATCTACGTCAACAATAGTGTGGCGGGTCCATAGGCCACGTCTGTGTACAGAGCCGTACAAATATTCTGAGGGCCATGGCAGGAGACACCAAAAAGAAAAGCCAGACGGGTGCAAGACAAGACATGAAATTGCACGAGGTACGAGGAACAAAACGGGTCCATGGAAACGCTGCGATGCAAAACTGGACGTCATGCGAATGTACACGGTCCTTCACAAAAAACGACCAAGAAAACAGGGCATCAACAAGGGAGATAGTATTGTCGGAAGAAAAGTTCCGTCATGAAGCCGTGTGCTGCACCTTCATGTTCAAGTCGTCGGCACACGAAAAAAACATTAACCCCGCATCACTTTTTCTTCTTTCCTGTGGAGTATTTTGAGGTCTGAACATACGCTCGACGCACAAGTAACGAGCGCTGCTCTCGCATCATCATCATCATCATCATCGCCCGCATACATGCATGATGGGATCAGTACGGACATACGAAGGGACTCGGAAGAGAGAGATCGGAACGGTTTCAAATGTGAAGACAACAACAATAACGACAATGCATGCATGAAAGTAACAAAAGGTTGTTTTTGAGCGTTGTTTTCTCATCTCAGCATGAGGCGATAACTAACCGATGAAGGCCAAGAATATCTCGCTCTTCGAACAGGAACTATTTTTTGTGTACGTGTGTCTATGTGAATGTATTTCCCGAACCCGAACAAACAACCTCGATTATTTGGGCCGGCGGCGAGCAAGCACGCCCTCGCAGGTAGGTTGACCATGGACTGAATGCAGTCACGGGAATAAAAAAAGCTGAACGACTCTCAACGTCGTTGCACCAAAATCAACTAGAAACTGCCCTCGGAATTGGGAAATACTGCACATCACGCAACCGTGGGGGGCCAAGCACGCAGACCTCGGACTCCCGAGAACATTAGCGACACCCAGCAAGCATTCCTTTTTTTGGAAAACAAAAACAACGCATAGATCCAACTGGCATTACTGATAACTCAGTGTTAGCCTTGCACTGATTCAAATTAAGCCAAGTCTCCAGTCCGCGTACTGAAAACACTTCACCACATACCTCTCGACTGAGCTTATATCTCGAACGGGTAGTCTTTCTGTGAGGTCATGTTAACTTTCAAAAAACCAACGCACGAACGAACGCAAAATGAAAATTCTGCCGTCTGACGAAACGCAAGAAGAGCTGCTGCCTAGATAGATAGATGCCTCTGGCCTATCCATATATCGTTCGTATCGTACCTTGGAGATTAGTCGTGGTTTGGATGGGCTGGCCCGGGTTCGTGCTCCTAGCGTAACCGCCCTGGCCTGTTCTCCCGGCCGGCGGAGTCGAAGCGAAAAGATGGCCACGGCATGGAGAGAAAACAAACGGCGACAAATTGGAAATAAATAAAAATCTTGGGAAGGGTTCGAGGTCCGTCACCGGCCGTGGGCAAGCCGGCCTTCACGGACGCCTTGGGTCACCGACTGCGACAGACAGCAGTAATGCAGTTCCTGGCGCAGAGTCCCACCCTCTCGGCTGCTGGTGGTGGCACCGCTCCCGACCGCACAAAAAAGGGACATGCGCCAAAAATAGCGGCTAACCGACCCAGTGGCATTCTCGGGTGTGGAAATGTGGTGTAGGATACGTTCGAACAATCGGCGCACGTTGGTGATGCGGGCAACATGCATGGTCGTGTATAGACGCGTAGCGGGAGCAAACTTTGGCCGACGAAGCTCTGGGGCCTGTTTTCATTACGCGGGGCCCGACCGTGCTGTGCAGTACAAAACCAAAACATGATAAAAGTAGGAAAAGTCTACATGTCCGGCCGGCCGGGATCACCGCCGCTGTCGCATGCACATCACGAAAATCGATCGACAGCGCCGCATCTGCCTGCCGACTGCAGATAGATCACAACCCCTTTTTAAGCGCCCGGCGGGATACGCAGCAAGGCAAACAGAGAGGGTGTACAGCGGTAAGTCCGCGAAACTGAATACTAATCGTCTGCTGCATTTCACACTTGTTTCCGGGAAAGATAATAAAATAACGAACCCCGATCCCCAAACGTGTATCCACGGCTGCCGGTGTCAGTCCGGTCCGGGCAGTTTTTTTCGCCCAGTTCCGTTACGCCAAAACTACACCAGTGTGTATCGGTTTCCGATTATCGGGATGTTTGCGGCACGCGCTGGGACTGGGGGCAGCGTCCTCCGGACCACCGCGGGCCGCCGACCGACCATGCACATATGATGTGAATCAAAAAAAGACGATTGGTTTTGCCCGCTGTCTTGGTCGGTCGACCGATCGATCTGTCCTCACCGGCGTAAAAGTTTCCTCCAGCCGTTGACCCAGCGCCTCCCGCAGTGCCTCCCGCGCCGCCGCCCGCCCCGCCACCGTAAGGCCCAGGGAACGCTCCCGGCTGCTGGTAAGGGTAGACTGAAGGAGGCACGCCGTACAAGGACGGCGGGTAGAACGACTGCAGCGGCGCTCCCATGGCGTTCGCGCTGCTGCCAAAAAAAAATAAAACACCAGGACCAGGGACAAAATTATCAGCCGACACACATCGAGCAAGTAGTAATAGGATCGCGAGGAGCGAACGAACGGAATCGATTTTGCTTGGTGCGGCTGCGTATTCAGCACACCGTTTTGGGGGGGAGGCTTTGGCCGCGAATGGATCTTACTGAAGAGCGTCGAGCGCGATCCTACCAGAAGCGATTGGGCAGCCACTGTGCGGACATCACGCACGCACACGCGAGCGCATCGGCAGTCGGATCGGGAGGCAGCGGAGAGAGAGCGAGACGGGGGCAGCAATTAAAACCGAAAAATACAAATCCGGACACAGAAAAAGAGCGACACGTCGTTATAAACACAATCACACACCAAGCAAAAAACGACATGCTGCTCACTCAGGGATCACACATCAAGCAAAAAACGACATGCCGCTCACTCCGGGATGTGGACGAATTAACTACATGTCTCTGGACAGACCGTGTACCACCGTGCTGGGGTGCACTACAACAATATGCACGGCAAGCAGGCACGCTTCTCTGCTGTGCACAAGGGTGACATGCTCTTGCCAGCATCCCCCGTCTGCTGCTGCTGCTGCTGGTGCTTTCAACCGTGTGTGCTCACCCGCCCGTGGACACCATGAACGTTCCTTCACCGTTCCCAGAGGTTGTCGATGCGATCGGGGTTCCCGCCCCCGCGACGATGTTAGGGTCCTGTCTCATGTACCCTTCCTCTACGTAGCCCGTCCTCTCTCCCCAGCTGCCTGCCACCACCGGCGACGGAGGGGGTCCACCGTAGCCATCAGCTTGTTGCTGATACAGCGAGAGAGAGCAGCAGGCGGGCAGAGGGGGTGTGCGGCAAAAAAAAAAGTTCAGACATGCACACACGCGGGCGAGCAACAAATCGCTTGCAACACAAGCTGGACACAGAGAGAGAGAGGGGACACGCACACGACCTTCCTTTCTTCAACAACAGATATGCACAGACAGCCTGCGCAAGCCAGAGCCAGACAGACAGACATTCACCTGCTGCTGCCCGTACTGTGGCATGCCGTACACTCCGGCTGCTGGTGCTCGCCCCGCTGTTGCGGCGCCGTTTGTGCCCAAGAGAGGGAAAGGTGGGGCTTGTTGCCGCCGGCTGCCATCGGGCGCGCCCTGATGTTGTTGCTGGTAGCTCATGCTTCCTGCTTTTTCTACGTTACACACCTAACCGCTCGTTGCTCGGAGATGCAGGCGCTGCCAACCTCCCCTTCAAGCCGCGAGCCGCGGGCCTCGCCGGTGCCTTATATGAAACTAAGAGACGCGCCGCCGTGTCCCGCGCGTGGTCGCTACGCAGGCCTGGGTGTGGCTTGAGAGTGTCTTGTATTGCAAGTTTGGTAGGAGCGCTGGGGGGCTGGCGTGCGCCGTGCGGAGATTTCTGGTTTGACGCAGAAAAAGAAAGGGCTCGGCTTGGGGGAGGAGAGAGTCTACAGGTTTCCTGGGCACAACAGTCCTCTGTTGTGCAAAGCGCTGCTGCTGCTGCTCCCGCTCTCAGCTGGGTGATCACAGCAGTGTCCGAAGTCTGAGGGTCTGTAGAAGCTGGGGATGGCGAGGGAAGAGGTGGGGTATGCGATGGGGCTGGTCTCCACTCCGCCCAGGTCAGCAGGGCACAGTTTTTCTGTAAACCGGGGGGGGACGAGAAATTGGAGATCACGTTCATTCGAGAAAGAGGCGGATATTTTATCTTGTGTGGTTCTTTTCGATTCTATGCATACGATATCAAAGAGAACCTTTCGTCTATTTTCTATTTTCATAATCCGAGGTTTGATGATCTGAGAGGGTAAATCAGAATCGACGCTGTGCACACCCCGTGCAGGTACGTTGTCATCTCTCTCTGTGCCGTTGGCGCATTGCTTTGTTAGGTGGCTGCGCTCTTCCTGCACTTGTGTTACCCGTACCAACTGTGTGGTGCTGCTGCTTCACGAGAGCTCGCTGACCCATGTGCCCCTACGGCAGCAGCAGCATCATCATCATCAGAAGACGCACCGCTAGTTTCAGAGGTTATAGAACATATATATGATTGCTGATGATACTATTTACTGATGTCGACTCGACTCCTCTCTCTCTCGATGCCACATACGGCTGGCTGCTGGCCGTACATCAGCAACCAACCGTCGCATTCCCATACTACTTGTACAGGGCTCGGGACCATGTAGTAAGCTGCAGGAGGCGGGGGTGTTCACGGCAAGCGCATGCTCGTGAATGTCGGCGGAGGACATGCGCATCATTCATGTAGTCTACTTTTCTTTCTCTCCCACGGGCTCTTTCTTTACAATTTTTCTTGTCAGAGTGTAGATGAAGATCTCTTCATAAATCTGTCAGCAGAGTGAGAGTCCTGCATGCATCCCCGATCACATCGGTGTGAATACATGTCATGTAGTAGGAAGTTCGTTGTTGTACCCAAGAAGAGTTTTGTGCGATTTGATATTGTTGTTGATCTTCGAAGCTCGCTCAGCAACCGATCCTCCTTTCTGGTGGTTTCGTTGTTCTTCCGTACAAGGCAGCTGTGGTAGTATCGCATCATTCCATCATCCATCCGTTGGATGGTTGATGATTTTGTGTTACGCAAATTTAGGAAGATGAGGAGCAAGATGAGGGGGAAAGAATTTTTATTATTCCAACGACGGCGCGTCCATACGTACATTCCCTGACTAAATGACGTAACGCGTTGCGCTTTGCAACAACCACCTCACCTTGGTGTGTCGTGGCGAACAAAAAAAACAAAAAAATAACAGAGCAAATAATAAATAAAAGTAGTGCACAGCGTCGGGGGACCGCCGTGTGTGTCGTTGCCGGTGTGTCTGTCGAGAGAAAACGAACGAATTGAAAATATGCGAATAAAATCTTGACGTCAAAACAATGTCGCTGCTCCTGGTGGTGGCGGCATGAACAACAACAGCCAGCCAGCCAGCCGGTGCGCCGGTCGGTGATGATAATGCTGTATGGATTTATGCATATTCTTCTGTAGGTTATTTGAACGGAAACAAGGAAGGTGCCAAAAACCGAAAGGGTCGCCTCGCGCGTTTGTATGTTTTCGGCTGCTGCTGCTTCTACTTGCCACTGCTGCTCCTGTTGTCCGTTCGTTGTGTTATTGTATTGCAATCAATGTCTGTCCACAGCAGCATCAGTCAGTACGGATAGACAATCAATACATTGCGGCACGTTGGAAGACCCCAGGTGCTTCCAAGCTTGGGGCTGCCATCACAGCGTTGAGATGGCACCATGCCATCCCGGCGTTCGGACGAAAGCGACCAAAGCGCCCCAGGGAGACGACGTGGTGGGCGGAGGGACAAGAGGAGACTGAGTGAGGGTAGGTGCCGGCGGCGAAGAAGAATTAAGTTAAATTTAGGATTTACTTTCCGAAACGTGAGTGAGGAGGGAAGGTAACTTACAGTAAGTGCTGTGGCTGCAAGACTTGTTTTGTGAGGAAGGCGCGCACTCACCCCAAGTGCTTCACCACAACGGGCACAACGTATGTTGCGCGAGCGTCTCTCTACCGCCGTCCATCCCTTCACCGGGGTTTTTCGAAGGAAGAACGCCAAACACAAGAGGGTTTTCCGACGAATATATTTCCACAGATAGATATATTTGCTGCAAATTTCCACCCGCCTCCCTGGATGCAGGGGCACGCGGGGCACCGCGAGAGAGAAAACCCACCCATCGCCATATATCAGTATTCTCTCTGCCGACATCCCTGCTCTGCTGCGTTGTTCTGTGTCGTGTCTCTACTATCCCGTCTTAGAGCGGCGCTCCCTGCCCTACTAGGCAAATAGAGCGTGGTGTCAATTGAAACATGGTGAAGGTAGCGGTCGGCCAGATGACTTCTACTTCCAGCAAGCTGCAAAACTTTCAGGTGATATAAGTTTCGTAAAGCAGCACCCTTGAGTTTTCTCGACCATCGAGAGCCGCCCGGCCTGCTGCGCATGTTGTACTATAGCATGCTGATGTTCAGGAACTTCATGCATCTTACAGACTGACTATCTATGCATTTTTGCACATGTGCCCACCCTTCATTCTCGTGCAATTTTACCAAGAATAAATGGTTTGTTTGCCTTCGAGTAAGACAGAAGTCTACATTACATAAACTGCTGGATCAAGCTGTATCGTACAAGTAGTACACAATTGTCATGATGAGGATCACACAATCGGCATGTCGCATTTCCACACTGCCCCCTACAGGTCTGTGCTAGGCTAGCAAAAGAGGCACGAGAGGCGGGCGCCTCGTTCCTTGCGTTGCCGGAATGCTTCAATTTCATCGGGGTGAGCAAGGCATGAAACAGGTTGATGCAGGCAGAGGGATGCACGCGGAGCGCGTGTTGGGTGACTGGAATCCCTCTCTCGGATTCAGATGTTCTGGCACGTATTGGGAGACACAACTAGTCTAGATATCTTACTTAGCCACTCGTGTCCATGACTACTTTGTGGCCCTCCACACGCATTCCACGATGCAACGGTTTGAATCTACACCGGCTGCGTTTTGCGAGATGGGCCTACGTGGATGTGTTGTCCACTCCGATCCCCGGGCCGCGGGCTTCCCGAACCCTGCCGCCGTTATCTGCTATCGCATGCATATATTCCCGTATGGTGCTGTCCTCCCTCCCCCGTGCGTCTCCTAGTTATGGTGATACCGGCGCCCATAGCAGTACTCTCCACGTCGGAATGTGTGCTGCGGTGTTCCTACATCGTTTCGAAGGAACACTGGCGGGAAGCTGTCGAGGCGGCGGAACCTCTGACCGGGCCTTCTATGAATCGATACTGCAGCCTCGCGAGGGTGAGTGCCTGCCCGTTCGCCAACTGTGTAGCAGCACGAGCAGGGCTGCCAGCTGTCCCTGTGTTGATGATTTTTGTTTGTGATGGCACTTTGCTGTGTCCCCGTTGCACCCTACTGTACATGCAACCTCCCTCAGCGAGCGTTGTAAAGCGATCGTGGGCTATCTGCGAAGTTCAAGTCCAGTTGTATCTAGTCAAGAAGGTCCACACGTACAGCGGTATTGGCTCTTTGTTGCTGCATTCCTGCATTTTTGCACCGCCGTAGGCTGCTGTTAACTGTGCACGATGTGCTGGCATACAGCGGTGATGATGCCCCGTGCTTTCCACAGGAACATGGCATGTGGCTGTCGCTTGGGGGGTTCCAAGAGAGAGTGCCACCGGAAGCGGTGTCTGCCGCCCGCCACACAGCACCCACGGAAGAGGCGCAAGAATCACGGCAACCCGTTCCTTTTGCTGAAAGGTATTTCCTGACTTCAAGTGCAGGCGGAGGGGGCTGGCGATGTATGCCGCACGGTGCCTTGGATGGAAGTTTCCTTAGTCTCCTCCTTCTATTCAACATGATCGGCGCGCCTTATACGGCTGCGCGGCGGCTTACGTGTAGTTGCCGGTTTGCATACAGTCTACACGTGTACAACGTTTCCGAAAGAGCGCACGAATGGCGACGAAGGTGGCAGCACAACAGTCAGCCCTCCCGGTGGAGTGTAGTCGACGACGTGCGGGCTCTGGACAGGAGCTACTCTTCTCTCAAGATTAATAAGTGCATCCGCCATCGTCAGGTTTACGCAAGTAGTAGTAGGCGGAACGCGAACGTGCTTTGATTGTCGATGTAATCCCGTCACTCTGCAATCAATCTAATTTTCCTCTCTTCCTCTTCTCTCTCTCTCTCTCTCTCTTGAGTTTGTCCAGTTTCGTCCGACAGTCACCGCGACATGAACATCCGTTCGTCCAACACCTCACTTTGCTACGCGTTATTATGCTACCTAACCACGCCACGCCTTTGCTGCTTTTTTTCCACCGGCATCCAGCCACCGGAGCAAGGTGTTCAACACACATGTCGTCATTTCCGAGAACGGCGACATCCGGGCGGCATACCGAAAAATACACCTGTTCGATGTCGTGAGTGAGATACACCGCTGCTCTCGCCAGATTTTTGCCTCGTCAACTCCATGCCAGAAGACCAGTGGAGGCTATGTTTGGTGTTGTTTGGCGTGGTTAATCGCGATTTTGAACGCACGGAGGGAGAGACGGGTACCACTGTCGCATAGTCAGGCGGTGGACAGGATGTTAATAGTGCTAGCCGGGGGTGAACGTAGGCTCCTGAACAAGGTGTAGTAGTCGGTTTCGACCATCTCTCTCTGTCTCTCTGTCTCTGCCTCTCTCTCTCTGCCTCCTGCCTCTCTCTTTCTGCCTCTCTCTCTCTCTCTCTCTCTCTCTCTCTCTCTCTCTCTCTCTCTCTCTC